TTTTGTATCATGTAGCAAAAGCTAGTGATGCAATACGCCAGAAGCATAAGTTGATCAGACTTGGTAAAGATATAACTCAACGAACCATGAGTGAAATGTTTAAACCTATGGTCACTCCTTTGAAACTATAAGCTGATAAAACCCTTATTAAAGAGAAAGCTAGAAAAGAAATTGAAAGCAGACAAGAAAGCCTCACACCTGATTGTAAAACAACTGATGATGCATCTTTTACAACAGCAACAATTACCTATCAAGGTACTCCGATTGAAGATATATCTGCAGTAAGGTATTCGATTCAAAGCTCCTGTCCAAGAAATTAGACACAAAGTATGGCGTAAGGAAGTTAAAAGATGATCGACTGATGATGAGTGATTTTGGAATCAGATTCGACAATACCTGATCGATCAAAAATAACAAAAAAAGATGAAAAAACGTATGGTAGAATTATCAGTATGATAAACGTCTATCGAAAGCATTATCTTTTCGATAGAAGTATCAGAGTAGATAGGAATTTAAAAAAATTTACTGACAAAATTAGTAAATTCATACCAAACAGTGGGGAAAGTTGACCACGATACATAATTATACGTAAACGAAATCATCTTATCAATTATATTAATTGGGATAATCCCAATGAACTTGTAGATCGACTCCGTTTTCTCATTGCATCTTTAACTGCTGAGAATTTCAGTCACACTAATAAAATTTTATCAATTGTAGAGGAATTTATCAAAGAACCCTTGAAATGAGAGGTTTGAAAATGAGTGTTGACGTTTTCGAATAACAGTTAGCGAAAGATATCATGAAAAGTGCTATTCGTGGTTCTCCTGGTAAAGGATTCAAAATAACTGTGGATCAAAAGTTTGATATGGATCATAAAAGATTGTGTAATCTCGCTGAACCAGTAGATTTGAATGACGCAACATCATTAGGAGCAATTGAAACAAATATTATGGTTTTAAAAAAATTTCTCGGAATAGAATTACGTCTTCTACGCGAAATTGTGTCAAGTTTAACGAGAACTGTTTGAGAAAATAGAGAAAGAATCAAAATCATTGATGTTCAAGTAGAAAATTATATTGAATCATCACAAGAACATCGTAAACGGCTGAAAGAAGAATTAAATGAAACGATTAAACTACATGAGTCAGACTGAATGCGTTCTCTGAAAAAACCAAATCGTGAACAAGCTGAAATTATTAAGCAATTGGAAGAAAATATTTAGAAATTTCTTGCTGAGCAACATCATGGAGAAGGAAAAAGAAACAATAACTGAAGAGCTACATAAAACGGTGAGAAAGATTCATTAACGACGACATGTTAATATACGTGGTCTTGATAAAACTAGGCAAGCTCACCCAGTTGATACGACTGCATATAAATCTCGTAATAAAAGACATCAGTATTCATTGATGGTTATTGACGTTTTTTTGAAATTACTTGCGCTGTGCCCACATTTAAAAATGGTAAAGATGAAGCTCATGCAATGAAATCGATTCTATCTAAGAAAGAGTGTCGAAATTTTTACACATTGAGAGAGGAAAAGAATTTTTATAATAAAGGCTTTGAAGCACTTATGGAACTATATAATATCAAAATGTATTTCACATTTAACAATCTCAAGGCATCTGTATGTGAACGGTTTAATCGCACGTTAAAAAGTAAAATGTGGGAACAATTTTCATTACGAGGTAAAGACAAATCGATAGACCTTACTAAAATTGATGACATCATATAACAATAGCAAACATGTGACCATCAAAATGAAACCGACTGATGTTACTCCAGCTAATGAAAAACAATAACGTCATATTATTACGACATCGAAAAAAGGTAAGAGTGAAATACTGCAAATTAAAACTATTTATTGAATTCAACGTTATACAACACTTTTTTTTTAATGCTTCTATAATTTTCTGTGGAAAAATAATTAATTCTTCAATGGTTCCAAACACCCATAACTTTTTTAAAGACACTTATTCAAGAATCTCTACAACAACAATTCGATTTGACTGGAGATATTGAAGGAGCTGCACTAACAATAGGTGGTGTTACCGCTGTATCCAGATTTTTACCAAGCGTCACGATATGGTTTCGCGGCTTAGGACATGCGAATAATTCTCCGGAAAACGTCATAGACGAAGTCATCGTAGTTGAGGATGATGATGATGACATTATAAGTATTCTTGCATGAATATTTTATTTATTACGAACATTAATAATTACAAAAAAAACTACATATCAATAAGAAAATTATTCTCATAATTACAGGTGATGTTACTCTAACTGCCAAACAATGGATATTATCATCATAATCATCTCCATGAGATTGTGTATGATATTTTTATCAAAAAGAATTTTTATTTTTTTTTGGATTTTTAAATAAAAAAAAAACCTTTAACAAACATATTAATATCTCATTTCTAATTATAACTAGATATACTTGGGAAAAGACAGATATATGGTAAAATGAATCCCTCAAAGATGTTAATGAGTCTATTTTTCAAATTATTTCCTTAAGTGTAATTGTTATCTTAAAATTGAAAACCGCTTGACCATATTTCTGTCTTGTCCCGAGTTATCCAAAATTAACCTAATTCACAATCTACAATTTGTAACTCGTAAGTATAATGCTTTCTGTAAAATATAAGCCATTGTTGCACATCTTATTAATTTGCTAATGTTTTATGAACAAATGGCCACATCTCGGAAACGGTTAGAGATAGAGCGAAAATAATGAAATTTTAGAGGCTGTATCTATAGGAGGTTTATACGTTACCCACAGAATATGATGATACATCCAAAATTTATAAATTGTTAAATAAATTGTTTTTTTTAACAATCCAATGCTAATTTAAAAATTATTATGCACAATTATAATTTGCTCATCCTATGTCTATGATGAAGTATTTGACTTTAAATTTTACGTTTTTTTATGAATTTGCTGATTTTTTTATGAAACGAATAGTACCGACTGATAATGAAACTATTAATCAATAACAATTACCGAGGGATGTAAATTAATTTTTCCGCGCTCAGAACCTACAATTTAACTCAGTCAGTATTAACTGTATAACGCTATTTTTCATAATTGTTTGAGTTTATTGTACTGTAACATGTAAATCGTTTCTTCAGAATAAAAAAATATCTTTGAATATCGGTAAAAATTGGTGCTGAGCTTATATTTTAACGACTCTCGATGACTTGAATTCGATTTCGTCGGAAAAAAGTTACTAAAATCATTTACTTGTATCAAGTTTCTCTTCATTGTTATTGTGGAATTTATTAACTTTCTGTAGTATTGTTCAATCATTTTAACGAATTTTGAGAATTCTTATATTTCTTTTATATTGTCTACAGAAAAAAAATGATGTTTATATTTATCATGTAAAGTAGAATGGAATTATTGTTATTTTATAGCTGCACATCAAATGCAAGTAAGAGTCGTAAAATTTTTCGTATTGTCTAATTCGTCGATAATTGGTAATCAGTTAGTCGTTTCTTATAAATCATTTTTTGATAATTAAAAATATTGACTTATTTTTAGATAAATTTTCCTAAACTTTGACATAATTCTCCAACGCATAAATAGATGGAATTGACCATGTTTGCTTCAAAAATTACGCCTGAAATTAGGCTCAAAATGCCTCAATAATCTAATAAAATCGTTCTTCAACATGTAAAAAAATTTTTTTTGTTTAAAAAAATTGTATTTTGTCACAATAAGTAAATTATCATCAATCTATTGTTTTTGTCAATTCAATTCTTCTACTAAATAGTTGTTTAGCGTTACATATTGTTACAGAAGGACTCTTCAGGGATCTTAACGTAAAAAAAAGTGACAAATGACACATTCAGTGAGAGAACACATGATGGAGCGCTTAATGGCAGAGAGTTGTTGTTGAAAAAATTTATTTTACTGGGTCTAATTCAGCCTAATTTTTCCAGAAAATTCATGATTAATTTTTTGTCTAACTGAAATTAGTTAAAGTTTAATGAAAATTTATCCTTCTAAACAATATTTTCCATCTTTTGCGAATAATTATTCAAGCTTAATCGAAATATAAGAAAGCAACTTATATTAAGAGTAAATATATTAATTTTTCTCGCTTTCCCTTGTATGAGTACTATTGGGCGATACACGAATCCCGGTGCTAAACAGTAGCTAACAGTACAAAAGAACAACTCATAACGATAAACATTCCTTCAAACAGTAAGTCATAGATATAATTTATCAAAGATCAGTAGGTTTTGCTGTAGTCAAATCAATTGTATTGGTATCGTTTCTAAGCGAACAAAAGTAAAGCAGTTGATTGTTATTTTATCTCATGTGTTACCAAGAAAAGAGTAGGCGACGCCCTGGCATATTATTTATGCTCGCTCCACATAGTCTATTCTTAATAATGCTAATGATAAAAACGAGTAAATAAAAGGACGTTCCATCTACCAAAAATGTATTGAATAGAATGCCACAAAAGTACAGAAACTCCAATTTTCGTTCTATTGTAACTTTTTAATTTATAGAATATATTTTTGATTACAATTGGATACGCTGTGCAAAACTCGATCGGAATCTAATAATGACAATGTTGGTAATTTCATTATTCCCAACATTATTGATTTATATATTTTATTCATTTTCAGAGAATCTAATGAGAGGGAATGACTATAAAGAATATTTTGACTAGAATTATAAATCAAAGGCCTTTTTCTTGTATGAGTAATTCGCTTTTTATATGATATTTGTGTTTGTCAAATAAGGTGACAATATAATTCTTCATATATATCCTTGCCCAATGAATTGATTATAACATACTAGTGAAAGACGTTTAACATTTCCTGTGATATTAATTTCAATTCTTATTCTAACGTTGCAGTACTGATCAATTCCGGACTATGATGTTTCCTCAATGTTTATAATCAAAGGGAATGACAGTTGGGGAAGGTATTAAGTTTGTTAAATGAAATATGAAATCAAGCAAATTCGGAATAAAACTGACCTTTTGATTTGATCGATGAATCAACACTACGTTGAGTTTGCTCACTAAAAGTAGATATGTGTACTTGTGTCCCACAACCCGTACAGTCCACAAGTAGTGTCAATTTTTCTTGTGCGATCTTGTGTAATAAATACCAACTATTGACGACATTGGTCACATCGAATTTTTGCCAGCCGAATTGACCCACATTTACTTCTACAGATGTTACCATTTCTAAGTAATCACTTAACTCCTGTAATAAATATAATAATGCATATTAAAATTAGGAATTATAAAAGTCTAAAAAATTTGGAGAAATGAACAAGAAAAATCGGAAAGTCTCGATGTCAGTACTCATCAATTAATACATAAAATTTTCGTTTATGTTATCTTTTAATCGAAGTAGATTTTTCCATTCTCAGGTATGACTTAGCCTCTAAACTATTGGGAGGTGTCTTCATTAATGGTATATTGAATTATTTTCTTCCAACACTCGTTGAGGTTTTTCAATCGAATAATTCTTGAGAAGACTCATTTTTAGCACTGTCTAAACGAGATTTATAGGTCTCCAAAAAACATTTCCCGTATCAAATCGTTTTTTTTTTCTCTTTATTTCATACATCCGGCCTCGCCATCAAACATAATTGTTATACATAAATACTATATTACTTCTCAAGCCTGTTAAATAGTATTTATACTGATAGAGTCGTCGGTAAAAGTTAGTATTATTTAATTTTGTTCTTCAAAGGTGTCCATATTGTGGCAAGAAGACGCACTATTCACAATAAGGCAATAACTGCATTGCTGCAGCTGCTGATCGCGCGATGGTTGTGGTACGGCGGCCTTTGCGGAAACTCAGTCACCCAGCTACTCAGGGGGATCAGCTGAGACGTTCCTGCGCCAAAAGGAAAAGTAAGATTGGGGACTTGTAGCGTAAACTGCATGCGCAATCAAGGTCGTTGTTGTCACGAGAAATAACTTGATGCCTGGCGTCATACTCTCCTCCCTGAGAGGAAGTAACGATAAGAGAAAAAACGGGAGAGTGATGCATGCTGGCACAATTTGCAAATCATGGTATCCGTAAAAAATAGAACTGATTTTAACGAATGAAGTCAGTAAGCGTTTGATCAGAGGCATTTTCAGTTATGATTGTTTCTAAATATTTATAAAGTATCATTTTCAATTGTTTTATTTTTACATATGCCAATACATTTTGTTAGATTCCAAAAAGGGGAGAAATTAATGTATTGAAAAGGACATTTATTTTCACTTAAAAGTGTAATTATGAGAAGTATTACATGGCAACGGATTAAACATAACCGTAAAATAGCTTATACCAATATTATTCACACAACATTGAATGAGTCTATGAGTACGAAATATATGAAATAATACAGAAAATTTTATTTATAAATATTTGAATAATACAATACCGGATGGTATTTACTAGGATAACTTATTAGTAACTTTCGTAAACGCGAGAATGCAGCAGATGTCACTAAAGTCAAAGCTAAAATTTTCAAGTCTAAATTTAAGGGTCGTGCATCAAGTAATAACCACAACTCATTAAAAATCATCGCTGAAACAGTCTCGAATCTGAAATCATTAGTAACTGACTTGTGCTACGGAATTTCGTATTTAAAATACCCATTGACTGGACTATAAGTGTATTTTTGTTCGTCGGAATATTGTTTAAAAAAAACATTGTTTCAACTAAAATTATTAAAATAACAATTGCCTCATAACTATCTTTTTTTCGGTTATGATTATTCACTTTCACTTGCGAATTAACCAAAATATTTATTAAAAATAATTTTATGCATAAAATTATTCAAGTTATAATACATCATCATTAAAGACTTGTGAGGCTTCGAAACATGAAGATTGATTGAAACATTGATTAAATAATATGTTTTAACGGTTAGTATGATCTCTCATAGAGTATATTACTATTATCATTTGTTAATAACACATGAAAATGTTTGTCATAAATATAGGGTAAGGTTGCTTAAGTCATACCCTAGCAATATCGCGTCCGACTCTTATAAATTTTATCATCTAGATCAGGCATTGGCAACGTTTTTTGAATCAGAGTATCTTTTAAGATTAAGAGTACTAGTTCAATAAGGTCCACAATGAAAGTTATATTAAGTAATCCAGATACCAAGTAACAGTTACTCTAAGGTGTACCACTTGCTTATGCTTGATCTCGATGACATCTAGTGATTTCTTTAAAATAACTGTAACAACAAAAAATTTTTCTTTACTTTGGCAACATGATGGCTAGACAGCAGGATTATTTTACAACCTCATACCCTTTATGTCTGAAATGTACAGTCTTTTTACTTCAGAGTTTACAATACTCTAATAAGGCAAATGCAAAGTCAGTTTGGACCATGAACTCTTTTAAACTCAGCACCAACTTGAACTTACTAATTACCAAATACACACGGTTTTTCCGTGATTTTCACTGGTTTATTTCCTAAAGAGAAGTTGTATGTTTACAGATGTAGAAAATCCATCTGTTTAGAATTAAACAGTTCATTATCTGAACACGTTGTGAGTGTTTGTTTTGAAAGTAATAAAGTATCTGAGAAATAATACATTTCTGAACACTTTCATCGGAACTGCAAACAAATTTTTTTCTTTAAATCATGTCAACTATGTGCAGGTAAAAGTAATGAAAGTATTGAAATTAGAAAAATGTTTTTTAAAGATTACATTCACCCTTACTATAATCTCGAAGTATAGAGCATGCATTTTTAAGAAAAATTTTGTCAGTCTTCTCTGAAAATGCATGGTGAATACATCCTGAACGTTTTAGAATATTACATTCTATTTTTTTTTTCTATATGGAATTAAATTGTTATTACCATTTGATTATTTAAGAATGAGTGATTCACGAAAATTTCCTCGGGAGTTTGTTGTTGATTCCATCGAATTATATAAAAGTAAGCCATCGACGCGGAAAATTTAATCAAAAGAATATTCGAATCGTGAAAAAAAAGCCAATGATTAGAATATTTCAACTGCTAAATGAAAAGAAGTTGAGCCAAATGCTGATCGTGAATTAGTCATGAAAAAGATCAACAGCATGAGAAGTGTGTATCAACCTGAATTAAAAAAACATAAAAAATTAAAATCAGAAATAGGCCCCGAAGAAGTTGCTACTCCATCATTGTGGTAATTTGATCTGCTACACTTCTTAGAAGATCAAGAGCTTCCACGACAATCAACTTCAACGATTGAGATAAACGGAAATAATTAGGTAAGAAATGAAATAACTACAGTGAATTTGTATTATTATTATTATTTATTTATTATTCTTCTCAACGAAACAACCTATAGTTTCATTAACATAACTATTCTGAACTCTTTAACATATTTTTATTTCAACTATTCAAGTGATCCCACTGCCATGATACTGCACCTTCATGGTTGAAGTATTCTTTGAATTCATTTTGAATTTGTTCCGCTATATTCACATATTGGTTCGCACTGATATTATTTTCATTGATGTGTAATGATCCATTATCATTGTCTACTGATGACGGAGTACTTCTTCTATTTGTTAAACTAGAACTTATATAGTTATTCAATTTTTTTCCGAAAAATTATAGAGATAACACGTTGCATGTGTGACAACATCATGTTCTCATTTCAAGTTTATTTCCGTTGTATTAGGTGGAACGTATTTGTCAAGATTCCAAATACATTTCCTACTATACGTCTTGCCCTTGAATGTCGATAATTATATATTCTTACATCTTCGGCCAGTTTTTTGTGGCTGTATGGCTTAATAAATTCAGGGCGAAGAGAAAATTTATTATCTTCTATGAATACATACTTTAATTTTGTATTTGTATTTGATAAACATTCTGGTGGTGGGATCTTCAATTGATTTTCTTTCAATGTTGTATAAAAACTAGTTTGATCGATGATTCCTCCATCAGACACTCGATCTAATGATCCACCATCGATAAAAATGGATTCATAATTTGCGTTAACCACGGCAAATAGAACAACACTAAAATATCCTATATAATTATAAAAAAATGAGCTACCACTTTTCGGTTGTTGATTCCGGACATGCTTTCTATCGGCAGCTCCGAGACAATAGGGAAATTGCCATCTTCTTTTAAAATCATTTGCTATTTTTCTCTAGTCATCCTCATTTTGTGGAAACTAAAACAAGCATCTTAACCTGACTTCCTAATTGCTCTGATCCAGCACAATCATCCCTATCCTTGAATGTTTAGGTTATTCAAAGTTGAAATTTTCTCCACAGATTTCAATATATTATTTTAATTATTATTGTTATCAGTGTTAATGTTATTATTACTTTTGGAGCTTAACGTATATAATCATTCCATTACAAACGAGACAACTATCTCAGAGGGCACTCAACAATCCTCCACCATCTCCAGGACCTTCGCCATCAATTTCTCAATCTCCGGTAGTTGCATCAATACCATTAACACTGTCAACAATATCATCAACAGTACCATCAATACCGTCAACATCACCATCAGTTATTAAAGCTACCCAGAAGAGTTCTCAACGTAGAGGATTAAAAAGAGTGTCTTTGAAGAATGATGCAGTTCTCGCAAAAATTGTAAAAGATCTAGAAAGACCAACTCCTAAAATGGATCGTTTTGACTATTTGTCATTATCGTGGTCAGGAATATTAAAAAACATTCCTAAAGACCAGGCAATATATGCTGAGAAACTTATAAACAATGTGTTATTTGAGGCACAATTGAATAATTTATCTTGCTATAGCCTGTTTCAAGCTAGTAGTTATGAACATCAACGATCAACGCAACATTTTTATCTATCAATTCATCAGCAGCAATATTCAGTCCAGAACCATCCACATTCAGGTTTCCAACACCAAGCCTATCCATCTGAACAACTGCAACATCAACCTTATTCACAAATGTGTAGTCAATATCAGCAGCCACAAGTTCAACAACAACAATATCAAAGTCATCATCAAAGTGAACAACTAACTTATGAACACTCTCAGCAGCAAGAGATGCAACAAGAAAATTTTGGACAACCATTAATGTTCATGATAGTAATGAACCCGAAAATATTGTTAATTTAATTAATAGTTTTAAAGATTAATGATTTACATATATTTATAGTTTACTTTTTATTGCATCTATTCTTAAATATTTATTTCAATTAGGGTCTTTTATTAAGCTTATTATACTTTTTTTTTTAATAAGAATTTATCATATTCGTATG